AAAAAAAAAAAACACAAAGTATTTGAACCATAGAATGTATATAAGTGTTACATTTTGTAAATATGTGTGTTATTTTGTGTATTAAAGTTGTGGCAATACGACCAAATTAAGAATCCAAGCCCAAGAAATTCATAGTAAACATCAAACGTAGCCGTGCCGTATCACAATATTCGTAAATCGTATTGCCTATGTCAATCGAACATTCAAATTTATGCAGTCTGAGTAAGACAGCATTTGCATTTTKTCTTTCAAATTACAACAATTGGATTGTTTAAGGTGCTGTTATTTGCAGCGTTTTCTCACAGCAGCTCTTGTCTCGCGAAAACTATTGTTACGCAACTTAACTAACTTATTTCTTCATCTTTTTRAGTGTTGGAGATGAAGTGGATCCACCTTCAACTTTCACCATGCAACAATTTTTTTGCGCGAGACAACTGAGCTGTAACGGAACTTGTACTTCAATGAGAAATCGTCGCATTTAACAGCGGCTTTAATTATTGGAATAACACCAACTTTCTTACTCAAAAGTAGGCATGATGCAGTTCGGCAACCTTACGAATCATATCCTGGTGATTAGCATARAGGTCTACGTTTCCAGAGACTTCGATCCAAGCCACAGCCCCAGCGTCATCTCCTGCTTTGAGCTTAAATTTGTCGAACGCTTTTCCAGTTTCGTCGTGAAAATTCATGGCTAGTGTTTCCATCCAGGCGTTGTCAGTGTTTCTGGGGTCGTCTACGTAGTCTTTGTAAATCTATGGAATAAAAAACTCTTAACTTTAAGGGGCTGTATGGAGGCGAGCCAGTCCAAATTTATTCCAGTGTTGTGATTGGGTAGTAAGCATTTTCTCACTTTTTGATGAAGTAACAGATCAAAAACGAGTGCTAGTGCTTGATCAGGGCATCCAAACACCGAGAAACAGATGAAAGCACGAGGCCGTATTCCCTGATCAAACACGAACCACGAGTTTTTGAACTTGCTTCTCAGTCTCATCATAATTCATTTGTTCTTGAATCTACTGACTATAAAAGTGAACAGTGTTTTGATCAAGTATCAAGGTGTGTGCACGTGACTACAATGCAAAGTCGCCATTGGTCATTGACCTCATGAATTATTAATGAGTTTGAGAAAGGCTTAATAAAACGGAACCCAATTGAAAGTTAAAGTGCTTATAAGCCTTTACACAATATTTTCAGAATTGATTCTTTAAATAGTGAATA